TGAAGACACCAGCCTGAAGATGATGAATGTGACTTCGTCGAAACGTCGCCAAGACACTTCCAATTTTACGCGGGAGAAAACCCGAATATCCAAAGACCTACATACAAATACCCGCGAAAACCTCAGAAAACATATATATATATATATATATATGTCATTTAAAATTCTAAAAATTGGAGGTTGACTTCTGGGTAAATTCATATTTAGAGAATCACAATTCTCTAAATATGGTGGTCTCACAGTTTGTGATTCTCTCTCTCTCTCTATATATATATATATATGTTGAGACGAAATAACCATGACCACCAAGAGGAAATTTAAAATATTTAAAAGCAATTAAAAAATTAAAAGCAATTAAAAAATTAAAATACAGGCAACCAAGCTTTCGTCGGGCTCTCCCGACATCATCAGGGTTGATAAGGCGGTTTTTGGGAGGGCTTATATGCCGCCTCCAAGTGCTTGCATCCGGCTGCGCGACCGTGTAACCGGGCCCAGGTGTCTGTGCTCCTGCGCTCTAGGTACATTCTTCTTACCCGCATGTAAACCCTTTGCCTTCCTTTCCTGTTTATCACCATATGGCCCTTGGGTGCCCTTGTCGGGGACCACGGGGGGTTCTTTCCCTAGCCTCCCATCAGCTCTGCCCTCCGCATCTTTCCCCTCAAACCCATTGGTCCTGCGGGGTTTGATCCGGCTGTGGTCAACCTCTCCCCCCCTTTTTCTTTCGTCCGTATCGGGTGGATCGTCTCTCTCTATGTCATCATACTGATTGCCATTAAAAAGGAGCTTTGGTATTATCTGTGCCATTGCAGTGCAACCAACACACAGAAAAGATGGCCAATCACCCCCACCCTGCCATCCCAGTTTGTATGCATCTTCCCAGGGATCGATCCATTATTTGAGAATCTCTGCAATAAAGTACATGGATAGAGAAGTGATATGTTTCATAAAGAAAAACTGGCCTGAAAAAGGATTGAAAATTAAACTTGTTTGTGACAACCTTGTACTTGTTGTGAAAGTCAATACCCTACCCTGTGCATGCTTTATTTCAGGGGTATCCAACTGGCTGGGGAATTCTGGGAGTTGAAGTCCACAAGTTTTAAAGTTGCCAAGGTTGGACAACCCTGCTTTATTTTATTCAGTGGACTGTATCTGGGGTAAATGTACATAATATAATGGCCTTACCTAGCTGCTCTGTACTGCAATAGAAGCAAAGTTCAAGAAAGGCTATGATTCTTCCACTTGTACAATGTTAATATTTGAAAGAAGTAAACATGGTTCTTACTAGTTGCAAAAAGGAAAATATCTCATTGTTTTGATTTTCTCTTTTCCTCCTTTTACAGTGCTACAAGGAACTGGGGGATAATTCTAAAGCTGCTCATTGGTTGACTCTGGCTTCAGAGTTGCCTGTTATCACAAAAGAGGTAGCGTTTTTTATCCGTTTTTTAAAACAAGGGTTTACAGAGCAATCCACTGGGATGAGAGGTGGTGAGGAAATGAAATGAAAGGAAATGATAGAAAAAGTGCTGTGCCCTTTGGTCTGATTACTTCATGTCAGTGGAGGCCCCTTCCCCTATTCGCTAAATGTTTTCTTTTTAATTGTAGTTTTCTCTTTCCATCGCTCCCTCTGGGAAAAAAAAACAAAACCTGCCAGTTCCAGGCCTAAGAAAGTTTTTCTTCTGGAAAAAGGGGCACACGGGATTGCTTTAATGGAAACATTTCTCAGGAAAAGATTTCTTATTTCTCCTGAATATCTGCAGTGGACCTTTTCCACTTTAAAATTTATCTCCTTGTGGACAGTCTTTCTTCATAGGTGGGGAGAGAGGGAGCCCCACAAAATCTTATCGTCCCTGGGATGGCCTTCCATGAATTATAAATCGCCTTTTTCAGTTCTAGTCTGTCCTCCACCCACCCATCCTGCCTTACTTTGGACTGCTTATGACATTTTAGTCTTTCTTTCTCTTATGACAAGCCTGCCACTTCTGCAATATTTCCAAAATCTGGCTCTTCTCAGACTACTGTATGTTCATACTACTGTAGATATTCTTGCTTTCCCATCTAGATCAGCTTTCCCTGGAGGGTCTTGGTAATGCTTGGAGTCCCTCCCTCGCTGCATCTGTGGAGAGCTCCGTAGAGGCGGAGAGAGAAAGATTTTAAGCTCTGTGCTTCTTTGTATTTCTGCTGCAGATCGGCAGGAAGCTCTTTCAGCTAACCCCTGAGACGAGAGGGAGTCCTCTTGGCAGGTGGAAGCAGCTTACAATCTTCCCTGCCAGCTTCCCCATTGACTTTCTGGGGAGGCTGGCAGAGAAGATTGCAAATGGCAATTGTAGGGAATTTGGCAACAGAGTGAACAAGCTGTCAAGCACCCCAAATCGCAATCACATGACTGCGGATGTGTTAGTGTGACATTTTGCAATAGCCAGAAGTGCTTTACACGGGCTGTGAAGCAGCCTTTCTGAGGCTGTTGTAACTTGGAGCAGTTGTTAAACAACCGGTCATTAAGCAAGGATTATCTGTATACCTGCAATTAAAAAAAAGAGACTGAACATCTGATAAGAAAATTGCTGTTCGTTTCTGAAATTGTTATCATGGAAACAAAAAAAAATCTGAATTTGGTAGATACCAAATAAAATTTGTTATTGGAATTAGTATTTCGTAGTATCTGATGTGATACATTTTTGAAGATTTGTTATAATAAATCAATTTGCCAGATCTAAAGTTTAGATTAGATATGTGCTCAGTCAACAGCAGAAAGGCCTTTCCTCTCTTGCATAACGTAAAAGATTAAGAAAGAAGTAGAATTCAGCTATTCAGGATTCTTCTACATCAGAAGTTCCTAAACCGTCTGCCATCACAGCTCCCTGCAGGGGTAGGCAACCTTGGCTCTTTTATGACTCATGGACTTCAACTCCCAGAATTCCTGAGCCAGCATAGCTGGCATTCTGGGAGTTGAAGTCCATGAGTCATAAAAGAGCCAAGGTTTCCTATCCCTGCTTTAGTGTAATCTTGATGTACACACCTTCTCTAAAACTCCAAACACCAGCATGAACATAAATGAACAATGAAACTTTGTTCAGCAACAAACAATCAAAAGTCCTTCACCCCATCGCTGAACTCTGTCTGCACCACCCCAAGAAAGATACAGTTCATAGACTGGGAAACCCTATTCTACCTGGTACGTAACTAGGAAGTTAGAGAAAGAAGTCTAATCTTTGGAACTGTATGATTTATAAAATTACTTCATAAAATTACTTCCTCACATTGATTCATAAATGTTTTCTGTCCCATTCTTCAGGATGCAGAAGGCAGCAGAGAAATGGAAGAGATGCAAGCAATTTCTCTTGACTAAGGAATCTTAAATGCTCCATCCTACAACGAGCAGTGAAGAAAATTCCAGTATAAAAAATTTCTCACTGTGGCTGTTACTAGGCTTCAAGAACAAATCACAAACTACTATTTCAGCACTTCTTTCTCAGATTGTAGCTGGTAATACCAAATAGTTAAAGAAATGTAATTCAGCTTTCTCCCTTATCACAAAATAATTTGATCCTAATTAACACCTGTGTTTACCTGTTTGTAGAATAGATGCTGGCAAATTCATTTGTATTTTTTCCATGCTCTCTTTGGGATCATACCCATCCAGAAATCTCCAGTACATAAAAATTTTAAACAATTTTGGGAAAATCGAGATAGCATTATAAAACATGTAGAATTATTCTTAGCATCCCTATCATTTGTTTTTATTTTTTATCAAATTAGTCCATTCACAGGGGCTCCTAAGTGCCTCGTTCATATCATTTGGAACATCTGGTGGGTGCTTATACTATATTTTGCTCATAGAGAGCAAAGAGTAGTTTGGAATGCCACTGACTTAAGAAAAAAAATAGTGAGGAAATTCTTTAATTTTTCCCTTCTCCTAGTACCATAGCTCTTGAGTTTCTTAAGTGATTGTTTCAACCTAAGGAAATATCATGAAAGATTGTTAATATATTGCCTGAGTTGTATTTAATGTGAAATGAACCAATAGATCATGGCCTTTTGGGCAAATTATCTTTGCTGAATAATATATTAATTCCTATGTCTGCTATTTATTTAAGACGTTTGTTGGTGTTATGTATAAGAATGTGTGTGGCATATGACATAAATATTTGAAAAGTTGAGGGAGTGACATGGTAAAATCTACAGATGCTGTTCCATGTGGCTTATAAAATGCAAATGTAGGTGTGGTTTAATAATATAAAAGTAAGAATGCAAACTAAATTAGGTTACTGTTCAGAAAATTAGAGTTATTATCCTTCATAACAAATAATGGAAAACATTCAGTGGAAGTGCAAACCTATTATTTTTTTCACGTTCAAATACTTTATTAATGTTTGTTTACTAGTTGACAGGGTAAAGGATAGTGTGCGGTCCTTTCGTGGAATAGCACAGAGCACCCATCTGCAGCATGTCCAGAGACTGGGATGTTCTCCTTCTAGTTCTTAAATATTTTTGGGCAGGAATAACATTACTGTCAGAAAGAGCAATTAAACACTGTTAAGCACAAAACAAAAAACAAGAATTTGCTTCAATTGCAGAACTTAAAAAATACATACCAATGAATTCCCCCCTACCTCCCCCCCCCCCCCCCCCCTNCCCCCCCCCCCCCCCCAGGATTGCAGAGAAAGTACATTCTCTGCCAATCCTGGGGATCATATGTCCAGTGTACAGCATGGAAAGAAAATTATATTGGGGAAAAAAATTAGAAAGAGAGGGACCACATACAGTATATGAAGAGATTCTATAGGCTGATAAGTCAAATTGTATAAGAGATGTATGTAACATAGATAACATCAGTGAATATGAGATGGAATTATGTAACCAGTGGGTTTCCAGTTGTAGACCAAACAATTTTCCAGAATGCAATATAACTGTTTTCTATGTGTACTTTGATTTTTGGCAGATGTTTTTGAAACCATCATTTCATAATAACTATAGCTATATTATTACAGTGAGGTTTAATACACTCTGCCATGTTGGACGTTTCTGTATGATGAGATCAGAGACAACTTGCAGGAATTTGATCCCTTCCCATAAAGATGGATATTCCATTACAATTAGATTGTTTTTTTAAAATTTTACAAAATAGTGTGGAAGAAAAAGCAATATTTCAGTCCAAAATAATGGGTTTTCCCTGTTTTTTCACATTTGTAACCAAAAACATTTAGAACCTATCTTAAGTACTGTAGTTTCATTAAGATTGCAAACAAATGTGATGATGCTAAGATTATAAAATCAAAATTTTGCAGAAGGAGTAGTGTAATTTTTATATGACCAGGTGATGAGAATAAGCTGCTAGCTTCTAAACGAGTGGATTTCCTTACATAGCTTCAATAATAACCTATAGTTTAGTGGAGCTCCCGCAAGTTGGACTTAAACTGAAGAAATATAAAATATTTTTATAAGACATATGAATCCCTAATGTAATAATTCATATTTTAAAAGTCCATATTTACTGGCACTGTTAACATTTTACTCTGGTAATGTAAGACCAAACTCCACCAGTTTCATTTTCCATGCAAACTTCTATATATCATGCTATTGTCAATTTCCTTATTTTGTTGGGTGGAGGAGAAATTCCTTATGGAACATATCATGTTTTTGTACCTTGGTTTGTTTTATATTATAACAAGGTATAGAGTATATTCAATTTGAAGTCTTACAAAATTAAACATGTGGCATGTTCTAAGGACAAAGAAATTTGCCCTTGTCCAGGAGAAAATAAAATACATATACTCTATGGCTTTTTCATGCAAATCATTTCAGTATTAGGTTCAAAATGTGCAGAAGCAAGTTTGATGCAGAAGTTAATTCTGATTGAAATACTCAGCTGCTCATCTAAAGCAGTGTTTCTTTAACTAGGAACTTTTAAGACATAATTCCAGAATTCCGCATCCAACATGCTGGCTGGGGGAATTCTGGGAGTTGAAATCTACATCTCTTAAAGTTGCTGAGGTTAAACACTGATCTAAAGAGTCTCTTGTGAAATCTGTGGCCTTGTTTGCAGAGAAGAAGCAGTCAACATTGATTAGCTTTGTTAATAGGTATTTGCTTTCAGAACTCTGCATTTATTTAGCATTTTTATTCTATGTTAGAACTGAGTTGTGAGATGTAACTTTGTCATTTCCATAATTTCCAAAGCATCTTTTTCTGTTCTGACTTAGGACTTATATCTCTTTGTGTAACTTGATGTTTTATATTATTTTATATAACTGACTGGTTTATTATTGCACTTAATTAACTGTTCCTTTCTCTGCTTTAAAGATTGTAGCCAAAGTGAACATGCAGATGTTTGACTTTCATAAGAGGTTGACCAGTTTACTGGTGCTTGTTTGTGCACTGAAAATTGCTGGAGTGGCAAATGTGTAAAAGTTTTATGTCAACTAATCAAAGCATCAGCTGCCTATTTTAATACCATTTTAGAACCAGGCTTGTTATCAAAATTAACATGACATTATAATAATCAATCATGACCAGAGACAAAGCACTTGTCAAAACCTCATGTAGCTGGCAAACATTTAGAATCAAATAATGGTGTTATAGTCAGTCAGAGACTTGTAATCTGGCTTGATAAACAGACTCCATCCTGAATCCTCAAAAACCATCCTTGGTTATAGATATTATAGATATTCTTGGCTACCATTGCCTTTAAGCCAAAAGACTCCAGGACTAGCAGCAGGCTGCAGACTACAATTGAAGAATTCTTGATTTCACCTTTTAAAAAATCATATAGATTTCTTTGTTCTGCAGTCTCTGAGCTACATTTTGTCTTTATGAAGGCAGTATCACTTGTCAAACATTCCCAGGTCAGTTCTTCAGGAGTCATGGCAGTGGATGAACTATGGCTGCTTTCCTAATTCATGGAAATACAGTTTACACTTTAACTATAAAGATTTGAAAATTTAGCTAATGACCAAAAGTGTTGCCTTTGAGTACTTTTTTTGAAAAGGCTAAAAAGCATTTATAAAATATGAAAATCTACTAGTGATAGTTACAGTGCTATATTCTAGTACCCAGGATTAGATCTTATTCAGACTTCTCACTGAGTAAATGGGTTTGCACTGCATTGGAGTGTTCTTTGCTGGTTTTGTCACATTTTCACATTCCATATGAATTCTTCTGAATTGGGACCTTGAATGATTTCCATATTTGTTGACATTCTTAATTTACAAATGTCTGAAAGCATTTGTGTTGTACGATACTCTTGGACTGCCTTACAAATATTTTAACATTGCATACAACCAAATTAGTGTAGGGTGGATTCTAAAGCAGCTGTTACAGCGATAAATAAATCTGATTACAAAAGCACTGAAGTTAGGAAATTAAAAGTATCAATCCTTGATGCTGGATTGGCAAACTGTTGCTCAGGCTACAGCATCTACATTATTTATCCCTAATGCAAGGAAACTTTTTCTTATAATTGGCTCTACTCCTTTGCTTTGAGAATAATAGTGTTCCAAATCTCAAAAGATGCCTGTGAAATTGCTTTAAGTAATTAAGTATTTTCTATGAAATAACTTGACATTACAGAAGAGAGTAACCTTTGTTCAAAGATGCTTGGAAAAACATTGGTTCTTATTCTTTAAGATGCATTTTGAACAGCCTTATGTTAGGAAAAAACCATGGATGTGTAACTAATTTTGCTGATTAACTGTGAAATTAAGGGCGGGAATATTTTACAAATGCACTGTCTCCCTACTGCAGGCATTGAAAAGAAGAAAATAGTAATAGAAAAGGACATATTGAATGACTGACATTGAGATATTTACTTTGAGTCTCTTTAAAGACAGCCAAAAAAAGTCTCCATAAAAATTTTCTGATTGTATTTTTGTTCTTTAAAAAAAGCTAATACATGAATTGACTGTAAAGTAATTTAAATCTCAACTCAAGTTTTATTTGAAATAAAAGTAAAAACACTAAAAGTATGTGCATCATTTACTCCATATGCGATTGTAGCATGATTTCCAAAATCCAGTGTATGGGGTTCTACTCAGGACATTTGCACTGGAAGAAAAAAGATACTACTTTCATTGATCTTCCTTTGGACTTCCTAAAAAAAGTCTTTTGAACAATACAAGAATGTGTAACTTGATTAAGATTATATTTAAACAACCAACATGATTTCAAAACTATTCTCATTATTTCTATCCATAATTAACAATGATGTATGCAGTATGGCTATATCAAAGAAAAAAATGTCTGTTGTAGCCCCTCCATTTGTCTTGATCTTGGTATATGCAAATGGGAGATAAATTCTATCTAATACACTCAGTGGTGACGTTTGCCTTTTTAATACTGCTATATACATATCTATCCAACCATGAAGCTCTTTGATCCAATCACAATTGGGTGGACAACACAAAAAAACAGTAAACTTTATTAAAATTATACACCACAGCTTATTATTTTTGGCTTACTCATGACTCACAACAATTATTCAACCCTAAAACAGTCAAAGTTAAAGCTTAAATTGCAGTTAAAATGATATAATGCAACCCTGATATCACAATGCACCCTAAGCTTCTAAAATAATTTGGTTTTAACTAGCTTCCAAAAGGCTGTTATCAGTTGGAGCCAATCCATTGTTGTTCCAAAAACAACAAACCAATTCTGGGCTTTGCTCCTGTTCCAAGGAATGTGTGCCAGTCCATAGATGCTCCTCAGGTTGTTTAGGAAATGGCATCAGATGGTAAAACATTGAACAGAATAGCAAGATGGAACGTGGAGATCAGCATATCCTACTGCCTCAAAATTTTCTTTTCTCCACAACAGAACAATACCCCACCTTGATTACAGTCAGAACTGTGCACTCTTTATAGAAACATACCACAGAATAGTATTTCTAGGAGTTTTCAGAATAAAGGACTATTTTATGACGAGCTGAGGAATATTGCACATGAATCATTATAAATATTGCACTACCTAGGGGTATCCTATACACCATAAGCTACTTAGTTGTTGATTATGCGAAACATTTTTCTTATAGTTCAAGATACAAAAATGTAAAAATATTTTTGGAAGTTTACAGTATAATAGCTTAATTTTTAAAACTCAGAATAGAATAGAGCTGGAAGGTTCTCAAGCAGGAGAACCTCAGATAAGTGACTATCTAATCTCTTCTTAAATTTCATTGTAAAGCATGATGCATTTTTTTTAATCTTGGAAATACAGCTTGAGCTAATGATGATTGGTTCAAATCATGAGATTGACATTGTTTCTATTCTAGTCAGTATTCTCCCACCAACTTTGCCCATTTGTTTTGGGTGATATTTCTAATTAACAAGATCATTTAAAAAATTCCACCCGATCTGTTACAAGCCAATAGCACTTTATTATCTTTCCATAAACTAGACCTGTATTTCTTAAAGAGCCTTTTGGAGCACAGGCTTTTTAAGAGATCCTAATGTATCATTTCTACCTGATCACACTTATCACTGAATTTTTATTTCTTTATTACCGGTATCTCTATGTCGGATGATGTAATGTTCTGCTTTTGCAAAAGTCAGCACTGCTTTGTTTCCCATAACAGAATATGCATTTTATGAGCTAAATTCTCATTTAGAATTTGTACACTG